TAATATTATATAATTGTTCATGAATTCATTATTATGTGGAATGACCCCGAATCGATCTCCGTTCAAACGATGCAAATTTTTTCAATGATATTTGTCTTGAACCAGAAAAAGTGAATGGAGATTTACTAAAAGGAGGGCGGATGATGAATCTACCTGAGGGAATTTGGGAAACAGTTCGCATGAAGAATTATTAACAGGCATTGTCTACAGAGTTGAGAAAAGAGTTTTAGGAACTATGCAGAATTATAATCAGATTTCAGGCGTGAAGAGTAACGTGTGTTACTTGAAACTTGATTACTGGCAGGGCATTGACTAACGAATGAGGTGAAGGAGACCGGCTGTAGTTTTTTCGTTTGATAGAATGAGGAAAGTCGCTGGAATGTAATAATGTGTGTTAAGTATGATCACATTTAATACAATGAAACGCATAGTGCAATCCCTGAAAATATGCATGGAATCCAAACAATTCACACACCACTAATGGGATTTCACAACATTGAATCTTCGCGGACATGGACATGGACAGAAACTGAGGATACTTGTAAATGAGATGGTCGGCATCAAACAGTGAGCAACTAGTTTTGGTTTGAGTATGAAAGAAAGCACGTCGAGAGGCGGATTTGGAAATGGGGATTGGAGATATATTACGAAGTAAACTGTTTGATTTTGTTTGACTCAAAACGATTATGATCAGCAATCCTTGCGATACTGCCACATTGTTACAAACTCTACTAATGATACAAATGTGGGAATTCCATCTGAATTGATTTCTAATTCAAATCTAAAAACCGTTTTGGAATTGAGTAGCATGTTGAAAAGCAAGAAGCGCTACTGATCCATTGGGAAGTCAAAATTTTTCAAACCCGCAATGTTCGGAAATTGTGGGGAGTGACATCATTTTCATCAAGTCGCAGACAATTTTCCATTTCATTAATATGGGCAGTAGCTAAATTACGTTCATATCATTTCAGCAAAGAGTTATGAGTAATGATATAGTTAGCACCTGTTAAGTTTTTTTTACGAGGGCCAATTGTGGCCCAGAAAGTGAAGAAATCAGATGATTTAATTTTTCAAACTTAAAAGTGAAACAATTTTTGGTAGCTTGATATGATATTCGATATTTGAATTATTATTCAGTGTAGCATCAACAAAAAGATTTGTTTGACGGTGGTTGACAATGTTTTGTGGTGTACTTCATCAGTTCGGACTTCCATTGTCTGATAAAATATAAATTGATTTTTTTTTCAGGGATTTCAAAACAAAAAGATTATCATGAATGGATTTAGTAAAGTAATAATGTTGATAAAAAGACTGTGATAGATCTTTGAATTCATCATTATTTCAGTTGCCTGTTGGAATCTGAAGTGGAATAATCACTGCATTACGAGATTGGAACTATCTATGGATTTTATAAGAATACCTTGCCTTGAAAATATCACGGAGGTATGACAAAGATTTTGCTGAATTAGCTAAAATGATGTTCAGTATTAACGTAGACTGTATTTCCTGTGCCATGAATTTTAATGTTCTTTCGAATAATGTAGGTTTTCTGGTTCCACATCGCAGTAGGCAATATTGTTACCCTCTACACATTCCACAGCAACACCCCTCTCAAACAAAATTTGTACAGCTTGTAGAGCATTCAAACTACTCTTTTTTTCTCTCGCACTCCCGACCATTTTTGACGAAATATAGTATTTAGAGGGTATGTGATGTACTTACAAATGGAGGCAAGGATAGTAAATATTGGCAAGGATCTAAATATTGAAAATCGAATACAAAAAAATGCTCTAAGATAACACCAGGGTGAAAACAATTATAATAATCATCAATTAAAATTGTCAAAAAAGTCAAAATAGAGGTGAGGGCAGAACAAATATAAAGGAACATCTGTCAGGATTCTCGCCAGAAACGCAGACTCAGTCAGTGAATGCTAAACAGGTGCTGTTTATACATACTTTTGAAAACATTTTCTCACAAAGTTAAGTAATTATTTTTCCATTCATGGAAATTATTTATCATGGAGGAGAGATTATAAGAGAAAGACCGTTGAAATATTTCTATTTCATGGACAGGGATGCTTAAAACTACCTTTCTACGCAAATTCAAATCATGCAAATCTGATCTGTAAAAAAATGATCATATACGAGTTAGCGAGAAGAACTCCTGTATTTGATAATTTTAAAGAATAAGCTTGCTTATATGAAGACTTCTACAATCAAATATATTCAAACACTTCAAATCTGCTAATTTGTATGAAATTCTTTTCCGAATATCGATGTGATGCAGTGGTTTTGAATTTTCTGTATGTGGCGCCTATCGTTGTCTAAACATGGATAATAAACATCATAGTACTTGAAAGGAATGCAACTTATAAATCAATTTCACATTATATTGGAATATATGAGTTGCTGAGGTGAATAATCAATTTAAGGTTTGTTGTACATGAAATCTGAGTTCATGATACGACACGAATTGCATCTTAGAACTTTCCATTTTCAGGCAGTAGTTTTCTATTTCTTTTCAAATAGTTTCTATCACTTTCAAAATAATAGCTACCAACTTGTTTGAATTGATTTTCGAAATGTAGTCAGTGAACACTCTGAAAATGAAAATCAAAATTCAGACAGACGACTACTCGAACTATGGCTGAAAATTTGAAAGATGAATATAATTGAGAGCCATCTGCATAATGATGATATTTACAAAACTTCAGCTTCTCGATAAATGTTGCAATATGAAGGGCATAGAAAAGTGGTCGTGAAATACAGCCATGTGGCAATATTTCACGCCCACTGTTGATCCCTATTGTTGATCTATGTTCACGATGCCCCCTCCACCTAAAAAATTCTAAAATATGCCGATGACACAATCCTCTACTCCTTTGCCCCTAATACACGCATCTTGTAAACACAATCCCAAATAATTATAAACCACTTCGAGCACTGGTGCAACAAGTGGAGCATCAAAATTTACCCCTCCAAAACCCAAACCATCCTCTTCAGACACCCTAATATAACTACCCGCCCCAAACTAAGTACTAACAACTTGCATCTTAGACGGTTGGGAGAGAACATCCAACTCCAAGACTCGCTGTCCTACTGGGGGTTTCTTTCATGAGAAACTCGGGACAGAGTCCGGAAAAGGGCCACTCTCCCAAAAGAACTGTGAGGCAAGCTCGGGATATGCGACAGTAAGACTCTTTTGTACATGTACAAAATGTTTATGAGACCGATCCTGGATTTTGAAGCCACAATCTACTGCATGCTCTCCCAGAGACGAACCCACTGCATACCAACAACCGAAAGACGAATACTACAAAACACCCATAACCTCACATTTCGATACTCCTCCCAATATTTATTAAACCGAATAAATATTACCCCAATCAACTTGAGATTTCAGGAACCACAAGGCCGATACGCTGCTGAAGCCATGAAAAGCAACAACACCGCTGACATTAGCATCCTCACTATCCCTTGGACGCCACATAGAGGCCCCAGAAGAATACCAACTAAGAAGCTTCGGTTCCCCCAGCCAGACTCCTGGGAGCAGTGGAAGACCTGACGGAGCAAATCCAGGACATCCTAGAGGAGTACCCACTGGCGATAAGATAGAGGACAGCGCACGGCCTAAAAAACCCTGAAGTCACAGGCATACTTCCCCTGGCCTAACAAAACCCGATTCCTCAAGAACGACTCCCGCTATGAACCCGGACACTCGAACCAAATATACATATTACTTACTCCGATAATTTTAATTTAAATTTATTTGTAAAGTAACCCAACCCTGAAGAGGCTAAGCCTATAACAAGGCCCCCTTATATCATCATATCACTATGTAACATATACTGTTGAAACCAAAAATTATTGAACATTTCTTCCTCTCTCTCTACTCAACCGAAAAAAGTAAAACATATCAGAGAGTATTTTATGATTGATAGTGTCAAATGCTTTCGAGTAGTCCAGAAGAATTGAAATAGCTGTTTCATTTTTATCAATAGAATTAGTTATCTCATCTACAATATCTAATAATACTATCCCGTAGCTTCTAGATCCTGACTGATGAAAATGCTCTATTTGATGTTGGGGCATGTTTATTTGTTTTTTTACTCTTGTTATAACTACAAAGAGGTTAGTGATTTTTTATCACAAATTCAACAGTTCAATCAATGTTTGGGAAAAACCTAAAATATGAAGTTTCTCAGCAATTATCTTGGAAATATCAAAATGTATTCGAACTTTTCTGTTGAACTCAATTACTATTCAGTGACGCAAAACTATGGTAATTGTAATTTTGGATTATGTGAAGCGCATACTTTTGGAGTATGTGTCCATGAATTTTGCTTGTTTTTTGATTCGTATCAAATGCACTGTATACATGTAACTTGGGGATAGGCTGTTTGAAACCCATGCGAAGAACAGTGACCAGACTTGGGGAGTAGGCGTCAAGTCACAAAACCCTTTCAGCGTGTCATTACCTGAAGAGTAGGCAGATTGATCCCTCAGTGTGGCCATCTTTTTTGAAAATGGTTCAAACCGAAGTCTGAATGTCAAGCGCTAAAAACTCTAGGCGCGGTTGAATGACCATAAAAAAACAAACCATTAACATATCGAAAGATATGAGGAACTTTAATGTTTAATGAACATTACAGTTCGAATTTGAATGAATCAATGTACTTGGTGAAAAATTGATAGGATTCAACAAAAGATTTAAAAATTTAGTTTTTGGCAATATTTTCTGGCGAATTATATGACTCCATTGTATCAATACGTTGATAATAATGATTGTTAGAATATTTCGTTATATTGAACTGATTGAAAGAAGGTGTAGTATTGCTGAATACTATTTCAGCAGTCCCATATAGATGGACGAATTCCTAATTTTGAAAATTTTTGTACGAAAGTTTTCATGTCTTCCCTTATTACCGAAATATCATAACCAACAAACCGTTGGATTACTGTTTCATGAGTCAACAGATTTTTTAAATAGATACTTACTTGAATTGCCAATAATCTTTATCCGTAGATTTCAGGTTGATGTGTCCTTTACTGTACCAAGTACCTCTAAAATTGAGCATCCAAATGTCGTAACCAAGATCTCCTAGTAAACGAGCTGAAATAAAATGTGAGTTACTGTCAAGCTAACAATGTTATTTGCCTGTTTGCCATTTTTTGCTGGAGTACACATTTGATTGAATCAACTTATTTTTTGAAAACCTAATCAGAAAAAATAAGGATCAGGTTTCACAATTTTTAACCTTCAACCTATAATGCTTAAGTAGGTTCATCAGTTTCTTTGAGGACAACATACAAGCACTATAAGAATATTCGGTAGGCGCTCTCAGAGCGGTACCTATGCGAAAGAAGCGATTCATATTGGATTTGAATCGCTGGAGATCATATCCATTTGGAAAAACGTTCTCAGGAACGATGTTCCAGGCTATCAAGGTTGCACGTGATGTTTGCATTTTCAATCAGGCCAATGGCTCTTTTCTGGATGGAATCCACCAGATTCAGGGTATGTTTGGGGACAGAGCTCCATACATAAAAAAATCTGTTCAAAACCTGTTTTTCCGTTAATCAGCTGTCGACCCCATACGAACGATAACTCTCAGAAGTTGAGAAACGAGGGAGTCTTGGAGAAAGTTCTGTGAGAACATTTACGATCTCTAGTGAAGAAACGTTAGAGCTTTTGATAGAAAACTTCAGAGCGGTACCTATGCGAAAGAAGCGATTCATATTGGATTTGAATCGCTGGAGATCATATCCATTTGGAAAAACGTTCTCAGGAAGTTTATTCCGCATAAACATAGTTCTTCATATGAAAGAGTTCATAAGTAGCGAAGTTCGAGGTGTACTGAGTTGAACCTCAACACGATGAGCAGTAACAGTCCGTTGCGTACTTCTGATATGTGCCGCTCTTGATGGAATCAAATGTGCCCCCGTGAAAGTATCTATAGAAGAGAGACAAATCTCCAACCCTTCTTTGATGTTCCAGGCAATCAAGGTTGCACGTGATGTTTGCATTTTCAATCAGGCGAATGGCTCTTTTCTGGATGGAATCCACCAGATTCAGGGTATGTTTGGGGGCAGAGCTCCATACATAAAAAAATCTGTTCAAAATCTGTTTTTCCGTTAATCAGCTGTCGCCCCCATACGAACGATAATTCTCAGAAGTTGAGAAACGAGGGAGTCTTGGAGAAAGTTCTGTGAGAACATTTACGATCTCTAGTGAAGAAACGTTAGAGCTTTTGATAGAAAAACCACTTTTCTGGAAATCTGACTCTTGATAACAACAGACCGCCCATCTTCGAGGGCGCTAAATGCCCAAAAAAGAACGACTGGGACGTCGCAAAAAAGGTTATCACAGCACCGGCAGTTGAATGGGGTTTCAAGTCTTTTCAGCCCTTCAAATCTCCCGGAGAGGATGGTATATTTTCAGCTCTTCTTTTAAACGGACTGGAAATAATTTTACCTATTCTCACAAAATTGTATAGAGCTAGTCTAGCATGAAACTATATACTACCCAGTTGGTTGGCAACAAGGGTACCTGTAGTGGGCCGGAGAGACCCACACCCCAAATCAGTACGACCAATCAGCCTTACATCCTTCCTGCTGAAAGGACTTGAGAGGATACTGGGCAGGCATATCAGGAGGGTAGCATTATATGCATCCCCCCTGAATGTATGCTTATCAAACCGGCAACTCGACAGAATCAGCATTAAACAACCTCGTTGAGAAAATCACCCAATTCCTTGACAACAGCGGTTGCTGTATTTCTTGATATTGAAGGAGCATTTGACAATGCATTACCTAAATCTATAGGATTGTCTCTGGCTAGGAAGGGTATAGAATCAATCATAACTGGCTGGATCTATGCCATGCTAGTAAACAGAACTGCAACTACGACTCTTCAAGGCGACTCTGGTGGATAGTCTGCTTGATGTCCTCGACAGAAGAAAAGTCGATCTGCAAGCATTTGCAAATGACATTGTCATCCTGGCAAGGTTCACGTCGAGAAGGGTAGCTTGTAATATCCTCAAAGCGCGTTGGACGTTTTTCACCCGAGGGAGCAGATGTCTGTCAACCCCAGCAGAACTAATTTCCCTTCACGAAAAGGGAAAATTGGACGATCTAATGCTACTTTCCCCCAACAGTGTGGTCATTCCACACGGAAGTGGAACGGAGGTGAAATATCTTGGCATTGTCCTTGATAAAAGAGTCACCTGGAACGCTTACTTGGAAAAAGTTTTACACAAAGCCAGACGGTTTCTATGGACATTTCAAAGGATTTGTGGTAAAATTTGGGATTTAGGTCTCAACAAAATCCATTGGATTTATGTGATAATTGTCAGACCAATGATCACTTATGGTGCAATTGCTTGGTGACCGAAGGCTTCACAGTAAATGGCCCAAGCGAAGCTCTCTGGCTTACAGAGACAGCTGGTCTGTCTATCAGTGGTGCCATCAGTACCACACCATCAGCGGGCATCAAGATCCTTCTAGATCTACCTTCTCTCCACATGTTTCTGGAGAGAGAGGCTAGATGGACTGCGTACAGACTTCTGCACATTGCCAATTTCACAAATTAATTCAATGCAGAGTGCAACAGACTGTTGGTTGACATTGGAAGTCACAGCATTCTGGAAATGACCTATGACTTTATGCCTCCGACTGTCAACTACGAACGGCCTCATAGAGTACTATTCCCGAGAAGAGAGGACTGGATCCTCCGGGAAAAGGAAATATTAAAAGCAAATAGTTATTGGTTCACAGATGGATCAAAAACACCTTCTGGTTCTGGTGTAGGTATTTTCAGTCGCAGACCCAGGACAGAAATATCAATCTGCCTAGGAACTTATGCGAAATTTATGCTATCATACACTTCTGGCAGAATCTTCTAGGATTGGCTCACTCCAAAGCGTTTATTCACCCGTCGAAGCTTGATACCAAACAGTCGTTGGACTACAGTAGGGATGAACTACGATATCTAACAGGCCTTCTTACAGGTCACTGTCATTTGAATCATCATATGCAGAGAGTTGGACTGTCGGAAGACAATGTATGTCGCCTTTGTCTGGAAAATGATGAAACAACAGAGCATATACTTCGTGTCTGCCCCGCTGGGGACCGAATCATGTTCTTATTGTTCGGCAGATCCGTACTCTCACTATCTGACCTGGAAGACCACTCACCATACAAACTAATCGGCTTTGTTAAGAAGCTGAGATTATTTGGCCGAGTGTGAATAGGTGTGAGCCACAATAAACCCTTATGGGTTGCGGTGGAGGGTCGAATAGACCCACTCACTTTAGACATATATATCTACCTAACACAGTTGCAGAATCATCCCAGAATCATCCCAGAGGCGTAAATCGAATCCACGGCCTTCCAATCGTGAGTCAGGCGCACTACCACCACGGCAAATTCCAAAATAATAATCCAAAGAAGCTTTGATCCGAGCTTTATGAAGCATCAAAAGTTTCTGAGGTGTGTACTGTTTTCTGGCTCTGGATCTGGTTCCAAGCTTTTGAGAAGCAGCCTTTGCAATTCCAGCGCCATGATTGTGCCACGACATTTTGGTGTCCATTTTAACCCCCAACAAACTTATCGAAGCAGAAAGCGGAATTGTCTGACCTGACATGATTATATCCGGTTGAGAAACATTTATCTTCTTGGTGGAAACTGATGCCTTGGATGTTGACGCATTGAATTAAACCTGGCTACTTTCACCCCCAATTCGAAATCAGTTGGTAATACATTGTAAAATTTTGACAATATCTGAGATAAAGATGTTCACGTACTGATCAAATCATCTCATCAAGAATTATGGATTTTCATCATGTATGGTGTTATAGTACTATAAAGTTTTTATTGAATTCTTGAATTTTGTTCATCCTTTTTTTGGAAGTACCACTTTCATAATTCAATGGATAGATGGATGGACGATTTTCTTCAAAACACTGATTTTTCTCGAGATACTCCTTTTCAATTCATGACTTTTGCAACTCCAGATTTCAACAGAAACGGAATAGAAAGCCTATATGGTTGTCCCACAAAAACAATTTTTTTCTGAAATACTTTTATTCAATCTATTTTGAAATTGCAGAAATCATCAATAAGAAATGTTCACTTTTCAGAATAATGTATAGATTTGTTGTAGGTAATTTTAATCTCAACTACATTGTCATCAACAGATGTATTTTTAAATCACAAGCAAAAGTAAAGGGAAGGAAAAGACTTCGTCGTTTTTCAATATTGGTTGTTAAATCAATTGAAGAATATTTTCTGCTTAACACATTTTCACTGTGTTGATCCCAGACTATGTTTTTTTGATATTTCGTTACTGATTAGCATAATACATAAACTCGTTGAATAAATTACTTCAACTTGTTTGTTACTTGTTTGTTACTCACCCAATGAAATATTTTCCTTGTTCACCCATCCAATGGCATTCATAGCCATGCCGTGAACAATAATGATAGGTGTTGGTTTGCTGATATTCAGAAAGGCTCTCTCCACCAAAATTTCGTAGCCATCTTCGGTGATCAAGTAATGCTCTTCAGCGGTGTAGTTAGGCCAGCTTCGTATAATTTCACTCTTGGAAGAAGAAAGTCATTTTGAAAAAAAAAGTGCAATGATGTCTAGATTTTCATTACGGTTTCAAAGTCAATTGTTTCAGTTCCTTCGTATATATAAATGTGTGTAGAATATAACTCAATGTCCATCGGAGTATTAGCCCAGCCAGTAATTGTTTTTTGTCAGGCATTTAACAGAACCTACTATTTAAGTTGGTTGGGAGAGATGAATGGAATATTTTCATTTGTATCGGGAAATTGAACTTTCAATTACCTAACTTGATGTTAATCAGCTAATGACCTGCTCGAAGTAGAAAAAAATAATGGAACATATGGACACAGGTTTTTGAACCATATCTGTGTATGATTACTTATTGAAATTGTAATTGCTTATTGTAATAATATAAATACTTCTTTATCTCCCTTCAAATATTGGAACCTTTCACATAAGCGCAAGTGTGCTTGTGTCGTGTTAAGGTGCGTATTCACGAGCGAGCATGAACCAGCATTTCTATATGTTTGCTCGTGTTCGCTCGTGTTTGCTCGACATATTGATGTCTCGTCCACACCAGAGCGAATATCTTCAAGTTCGTAGTCGTAGTTTATACATCGAGCACCTTTTGATGTACCTCCTTCTTCTCGATCTTTTCTGAACGCGAACAAGCATACGTTCGCTCGCTCGCCAGCCCGTACTCACCAGACGATTATAGATGCAGAATGCTCGTTCACTCTTGTTCGCTCTTGTTTCCTCTTGTTCGCTCATGCTCGCTTTTTCGATGAATACGCACCTTTAGTATCTCATATTTGAAAGGAGATTATGAATTTGTCAGAGAGTATACGTTTAGCTGATTGTAGCGTACAGATGATTTTATAGCAATTTTGTGTTTCTTTATGTCTATAATATTCCTGGACTCGTGCAGTAGTGAGTTAAAAAGTTTTGGACCAAAGTAATGTACAAATCTTTGTGAGTGACTTTTTTTGAATAAAGGCAGATGGATACCTTTTATAACAGATCTGGTTTCTTTCTCAATAGTTGTCCTCTGGTAATTAGCTTTATTGTGAAATATTCATATTGAACAAGAGTAAGAGTAGAGATTTCTTATGTTGAATAAGATTTGTTCATAACGCTTTTTTGTAGGAACTAAACGGACTCTCTTATAGATAATTTTCAGTATTGTGTTTTGCATTATTTGTAAGTCTCCTGCTTTTTTCCAAAAATTCCCCCCATGCTCTAATGCAATACTCGAGAACAGGTGAGCATGTTCTTACGAGTTATGATATCTCTCAGGAAGTACAATTTGTGGATGAGTTGCTTTAGTGTTTTGGTCATATACTGTGTATGCTCATCCCATCGTGAACGTTGATCAACTATGACTCCTAAATATTTGAGTTAATTTGTTTTTTCGATGGCAGGACAGTGGCAGATATTTCCAGCGCAATTTATTTTATGTACCTTTAAAAAAATCTATATGGTTGGTCGCTATTTGTTAAAGTGATGGTCATGAATTCTGTTTTTTCAACGTTTTTTCAACCGCCAATTGTTCATCTTCTGACGCTAAATTAACATTAAAATCTCCTGCTGAAATTAGTGACAACGTATGATAGATAGTTTTCTCGTAATTCTTCAGAGTCTACTCGACCCCCTGTCTTTGCCAGTATTATACGAAACGTAACTCTCTCTCGCTTGCAATCTTCTCTAACTCATACCTCCCTCTCAACTTCCGTTCGCCTCGCCCGAACACAGTTTTTGTAACGCTCTCGTCACACATTCACCAGCTTACTCCCCAAGTCAAGCGCGCGTAAATCAACTTTACTTCAACGTTCGCCTCATCCGGTCACACTTTTCGTAACGCTTTTGTCACGCATTCACCAGCTTACTCCCCAAGTCAAGCGCGCGTAAATCAGCTTTACTTCGACGTTCGCCTCACCCGGTCACACTTTTCGTAACGCTTTTGTCACGCATTTACCAGTTTACTCTCCAAGTCAAGCGCGTAAGTTTTACTTCAGAAATTACTTCAGTTTTTGCTTGCAACAGTAGAAACTGAGTTGTTTTATGTATGTGACATGATAGTTCATTGTAGAATTTCAAATTCAATGAATTTTTCTGTGAGGTGTTTGGTCTGAATCTCTCAGTTTTTATAATATTTACTGATTTTCTTGGACATTCATGTTGTTGCGATTGTAAAATGTAGTTTGATCTATTTTTATGAATTTCAGTCAATGTTTCATATACGAAAGTTGAAGGAAGCTGCATAATTTTAAGATGAATTAAAAGTTGGCGACAATGATCTCTGAAGTTGGCATTTGAAATCAAACGTATAACTCTTTTTTGCAATATAAATTTTTTTTGGAATGACAGGAATCCCCCCACCATACTGTGCCATGTACCATGTGACTATGGAAGCGTCCGAAGTAAGATTTGACCGCTCTGATTTGATCGGATAGTAATTTAATGAACTAATTTTTGAAAAACGTATTATAGTTAACTGACCTCATTGAGAAGTCCTTGTAGAAAGTTACAAGTATTGACTCTCTGTACATTAGTAAAGAGTACTGAGTAGTAATATGGACTGCCTGTACACACTTCTACCTTTTTCAGGTGATTACCAGTTTCTTGTGATCATTACTCTGTAGGAAAATGTATTTAAGTAATCGATAAGTAATTGAATTATAATTACTGCAATTACTATTTCCAAATTCGATTTATTCAACCCATCAACTGATTATATTGCGTTGTCTAGAATAAAAAAACTGATATTTCTGAAGAGATCGAGAAGGAAAAAATTTTTTTGGTGTCATTTTTATTTTCATCCAATAAATCAATAGTTATTACCCTACTAATTTTAGTTTGGCGTAGTTATGTTGAAATTGTCAAATGTTATTAAACAATTTGTTTATTTAGGAATGAAAGTCAACAAGTTGTATATTCTGGGAAAAGATTGAAATGTTATTTTGATATATTATTGATCTATTTTAGGTCTCATTTGTAAGTGATCAAACAAATATATGAATCAATACATATAATGAAAGTGTGAACAGTTCGATGTCTGTTTTTCTGTTTTACCGCGTTAATCTCAAAAACGGCTAAATCGATTTTGCTGCTTGATTTACTGACTCATTTGTGAGTGATCAAACAAATAACTGTTAATTTTTTCATTCAAACTTTGAAAAATCAAGATTCATTTTAATTTTTATAGAAGTTTATATGGAATCAGAATAAATGTGCTCATTTCTGAATATTTCTGGATGATGATAATAATAACAATATTCATTGAAATGTTTGAATAAACACAAAATTTTAATATAGTTGAACTTGTATGAAAGAATAGAGTTGAGAAGTTCAAAATGGCAGGGGATGATACAATATAACTTCGGTGTAAATTTATTGAAATACAATATGCCTGTTATTTTAAGTGTATTTGTTCGATGTGCTATAATTATTCACCAGAGTCAAAAAAAAAATCAAAATTGTTCTTGCCAAGTTTCACTTCTTTTCGTTTCTGGAAACTATAGCAATAAGTACCAAAAGACACAACATTGTCTTTATTCAGCATAACCTGAAACTCCAACGAATATTCGAATATTAGTCATACTTATCTCAAACACTATTTTTGTAATACAAAATGAAAATATAAAATTTGTCACTTTCTTTATTCTGAGATAGCAGCTGCCATATTTACTTCCCATTTATTTATGCAATAAACTGGTAAAACAGTATTCGTTGCATTTTGATTTTATATTCCCTATCCCAAAAGCAACAAGTATACAGTGAATTTTTTTTAATATTCCCCCTTTTATGTTTTGAACTGGAATTTGGGATAATGAAATGTGAAATTGACAGATGAAACTTTCAAGATGGCTACTGGGCGCCATCTGGGAAAAAAATTGAATAAAAAGGTGGGTCTTTTGATACATCATTTTGAGGCTCCTGACGAATACTTCACAACCATAGAATATGAAGTCAATATCTTCACCTACTACAAAATGGCAGAACATTTAATAATTTCCTGAAGAAAACACATTAATATCGATATTTCTAGAAATATCCCTTTTCATCTGCCATATGGCAATTCCAACAACCAGATTAGGTTTGTTAAATTATTTTTTGTTCATAAAAACAACAAAAAATGTCAGTACGACAATGAACATCATTGTTCAGTTAGAATATACCCACTTAGTTTTTGGTTTTACTAGTAGAAAGGTACCACGTCAACAATCTCTGAAATGGTCAATTCTCGTCTACAGGAAGAGAGAATTGAAGCGATTTTTATTTACGGTGCGACGCGTAACTTTCACGAGACCGAAAGGATTTTCAATGAATGTTTTCTGAATCGTCCTATCTGTGGGAAATATTCGAAGAAACTTATATCCAAATTCACAACTACCGGCAGTGTACTTAACAAAAAGCCCCTGGGTCATCAGTCCATTCTAGAAGAATAACAAGTGCAAATAATTGGTGAGATGGTAGTAAATCCTGAACAGTCTACTTATTCCGTCGCGAATGTTTGTGAGGTGTCTCCTTCTACGGTGTGGACACTTTTGGAGAGGAATAGGTATCATCCATACAAAATTAAAATGGTACACCGAATAACCGAAGATGACCCTGATCGACGAACATAATTCTGAGAAATCATGACGGAAACCATTGCAAGGCATCCTACCTATCTTCACAATATTTGTTTAGTGACGAATGTACATTTTTTTAACGGCGATGTTCATAGACAAAATTGCCGTTATTGGAGTGACATCAACCCTCACGTTTTCCGGAAAACACATACCCAATATCCAGAAAAAAATAACGTTTCGGCAGGAATATTGGGAAACCAAATTGTAGGACCTCTATTTATTGATCAAAGTTTAACAGAGGAACTGTATTGGAGTATGCTGGAAACTACTGTTGACCCTCTAATCACTGAAATCGTCGAAGCGAATCCTAATGAATTCGATATGTATATTGTATTCCAACAAGATGGAGCACCACCACATTACTCCAGAAAAGTAAGAAACTATTTGGATACTACTTTTTCCGGTCGTTGGATTGGCCGTCGAGGTCCTACAGAATGGCCCTACAGAATGGACAGCCCGCTCGCCATATTTGACATCTTTGGACTATTTTATGGGGCTATTTGAAGCAAAATGTTTACGAAACTGAACCTGAACCAATATTGGATATATGTCAGAGAATAATACATATTTGTAGAGATATTGACGTTATTCTGTTCGAAAATGTTGGACGTGGAATATCGGATAAGCTGTTCATATGTTGAGAAGTTCAAGGCAACCATTTCGAGCATCTTCTGAACTAACCTCAAGCTCATTACCTCATATTATGTAGTTAAATGTCAATGAATTCAGGCAATTATTAAAAGTTTCGCCATTTTGTAGTACTTGAAGATATTGACATTATATTCTAGGGTTGTGAAGTATTTATCAGGAGCTTCAAAATGATGCGGCACAAAACCCCCTTTTTCATTCAATTTTTTTTCACAGATAGCGCCTTGTCGCCATCTTGAAAGTTTCATCTGTCAATTTCACTTCAAAATAAAGTATTCATGCATTAATTTCATTATCTCAAATTTAAATTTTTTGAGTTGACCCGTTCAAAAAATAAAAGTGTGGGGACATTAAAGAAATGCACTGTATTTATGAATTCATCAAAAATACAACTGGTTTTGGATCATCAGATACCTACATGATGGAACAGAAAATACAAGTAGGTATAAATAAAAGATTACACCTAATGATTTTCCAATGTATTCTTCCTCTATAACAATTTATTGGCCGAATCAAATTGGGAAATTCCAAATTAGATACGAGTATCTATACAATAGCGATTTTTAATTGAAGAAGTGAACAACCCTTATTTTAACATTAATTAATGTAATATCAAGAAGAAATCTATACTTGTTACTGAAAACTATAGTTGAATACTATGAATATATATGGATATTTAATGAATAGTTTTTTTCTTCTAAAAAGTAATTTCAATTCTTAGAGTCAATAGCATTCTTAATTGAAGAAAATAACATTTTTCACGCTAAAAATAATTGATGTCTGATCAAAAAAGGGGCTTCATTCAGTAGTAAGATCTCAGAACGTTGAATACGGATAAAACTAGAAAACTCCAATAAAAAATTTACTATACTTGCGGAAGGAAAAGGTAATGATACTCTTGAAATAACATGTAGCTTTTTTTCGTGCATGCAACATCCAGTTCTTTCAATCTCACAAGTTTTAGATTTTAGTTCAGTTACGCCAGTTAACTGAAATAATTAAAAACTCAAAAGGTGTTTGAAGATGTTGAGAATGGATGGTTATTGCTAAAGTATTATTAGGGAGGTTTTGGAATGAACAAAACTTTTTACTGTATTAACGAGTTTCTCTGTATTCTGTTGGTTATTCAAATTTAATTTGATGATTGATGGAAAAAAGTGCTGAAATTCTTTCATATTCCTAAAGAGATTATATCAAGAATCACCGAAGATAAAATTAGAATGTAAATACTTACAATATTTTGCGTGAGAAATGCATTGTCATAATAATTGTATTCCAGGTACTTCCATAGGCTAGCAATCAAACAAAGTACACTTGCAGATAAAACCAATTTCGAAATCATTTCAGTCGAACAATCCGATAGTTTGTATTCAACTACAACGAATTATCGATGTTTCCACCGGTCTACCTTCAACCTTATGCAGAGTCGTTCTCAGAGATTATTTGGCCCGTTCGCATGAGAATCCAAATATAAATGGACCTACGATTATAAGTTTCAAAGAACACAACAATCACTTTGTTTGTTGAAGTCATTGTACGAATTATAATTTTTCAATGCAATTTCTATTTTCGAGATTATCCTCTTGTAAATTTCAGCTATAATCGATGATAATAATCAAACAATTGCCACAACCATTTTTATTTCTAGACGCGTTTCGCTAACACCGTAGCTTTCTCGGTAGAAATAAATATTACACACTGAGCTACAATTCTCATATACAACAATAGTAGGTACTTACTTAATTGGTTAATAGTGAAAGCGAAGACAGGTAGAATTTGTAAACCAATTACACTCTCAGCTCTTGAACATCAGTCCCAAATTAGTGTTATTGATTTGCATCAAGTAACGGGCCAGTCCATTCATATTTTGAATATGAGAAAATCGTTTGAATTGAATCAAAAATTGTGTGATATTTATGAAAAAAAATCCATAATAAATATTGTGATCATTATTAGTTGTGTTAAGGGACCTTAGGTATTTTTTCTGGTTATTTGAAGTAAGTCGAAAACCACTTTCACGAGAATTTACAGTAAATTCGGTGAGTTTATGAATTGAAGATTTTTCGAAATGAGTAATGACAAAAACGAAAAATAGAACGAATATGAGAAACGTCTTCGTTACTGAGAGGTTATTTTTATCTTGATATTTTCACTGACAGTTGCTGAATGTTTTCCTTCTGATAGAGTAAAATAGTTCAATCAAGAGTATATTTCATTTATCAGTACAAAATTTTCGATGCAATCACTGCTTTGGATCTTTGACTGAACGGTTCTATTTTCACAACGATTTTCGTTCGGGAACGTTATTATTTTACACATTTTTTTGCTATTTGGGAACTTCTATTTTTTTCAAGTCTCCAGAAAACACTGCAACCTCATGGGTTCATTCTGGGTCCAATAAATTTTTTCATGCCATCCATTCTAATAATCTTGTTCTCAGCAGTAGAGTGTACAGGTTATTTGTTGATTGTCATATTCTTCATGGTCCAGTCATTTAAGCTTAAATTAGGTAAGAATCTCGGAATTCGAGATACCCAGCTGTAAGTCTGTAAATACTTGTATATTGACACCCTAAAAGTTGTCTGAAAACCTACATATGGTAGGTTACATGGGCAGGTAAGTGTTGTTAAATAAATTAATACTGAATAAAAAGTAGATGGGTTAGGAAAAAAGTATAAAACATAATATAATAGTTCATAAAAATTGACAAATATTTATAATCATTTATTTATCGATAGTTCATCAACGTTTTCGACCGGAGGCACCGGTTGACTTGACGTGATCCTGTGACCGCGCGCTCTCCGCCCTCTATCTCGAAAACGGTTCACCGTATGAAAAATTTTGTTCGACAAAAATATGTAGAGAATTTTGTATTCTACAATATTGATAATGAATACAAATAGCAAAAAAACCCATAAGAAATCAGATATTTACAAAAAATGCGCAAAAAACCGATTTTTGTTACCTTAGACCTTGAAATTTAATAGTTGCGTACACCCTACCATATGTAGGTTTTGAGACAACTTTTAGGATGTCAACATACAAGTATTTACAGACTTACAGCTGGGTATCTCGAGTTCCGAGGTGAACTTACTATAATGACTGGACTATCAGGACAATCTTTGTGTTATTCAAGAATTGCTTGCTTCATATTCGCACAAAATATAACCGCAACTAAGATCTCCGCTATTTTATTCCGGTGTAACTCGTGGATATTCCTCTTGTTATTCTCAAGCGATCTATGCTATCCCTCCACTTTTCGCCTACGTTACGGGGTGAACCGACGTCGGTCCGCATACGTCACGTGGGTGTGACAGAAGAGTAACAGACGACTTGGGCGGAATTTCTTTTTAAGGACCAAACACAAGCACTACAGGAAAATCCTTAAGGCGCTCTTGAAGCGGTGCCTGTCCACATAACTCCCTTTTTTGGTGGAATCTATAATGCCGAGTCCCTTGAACACTTCCCGTGAAAGTATCTATAAAAAAGAAGATTAATTTCCAACCTTTCTTCGATGTTATAGACTATCAATGTTGCAAGTGATGTTCTTGTCTTCAATCAGGTGGATGGCTCTTTTCTGGATGGAATGCAGCAGCTTCAGGGTAACAAATCTAAAACTTCTTGGTAGATCATTAATCAAATTCAAAAAAACCTAAACAAAATAGTGCAATAACTGTTGAACTTAAGGATGATGAAATTGGAGATTACATGGGCAGGTAAGTGTTGTTAAATAAATTAATACTGAATAAAAAGTGGATGGGTTAGGAAAAAAAGTATAAAACATAATATAATAGTTCATAAAAATTGACAAATATTTTTATAATCATTGATTTATCGATAGTTCATCAACGTTTTCGACCGGAGGCACCGGTTGACTTGACGTGATCCTGTGACCGCGCGCTTTCCGCCCTTTATCTCGAAAACGGTTCACCGTTTTGAACTATGTCGTCCCTTGACGTATTTAATGAATCTGTCCTCTGTGAAAGGAATTGTTCCAGCAAATTTGCAACAGTATGTCCATTATTTTAAAAGGTAATGTGAATGACCTAGACAATTATAGAGCAATAAGCCTACTGTCAAGTCTCTCCAAGCCATTCGAGTTGAATCTAAAACAACAGGTGACTATGTTTTACGAACAAAACAAACTATTGTCATCCTCACAGCACGGTTACACTAAATCCAAGAGTACAGAGTCATCCCTATGTGAATTTCAGTCAAGAATTGTTAATGCTCTCGACATGAAAAAATGTGTCATAGGCCTTTTTATAGATTTCTCACGTGCTTTTGATTGTGTGGACCATGAACTGTTACTATCTAAGCTTTATAGATCAGGTGTAAGAGGGGTATTACATGATTTGGTGAGATCTTATCTTATAGGTAGGAGACAAAAAGTGAGAATTGGTCAATGTATAGGCGATGATTGTGATATAAAGCAGGGAGTTCCCCAGGGTTCGAATTTAGGCCCCTATTTTATTTTGTTATTTGCTAATGATCTAATTACGACCATCAGTAAAACAAACTCGGTATTCGTTATAAGTTATGCTGACGATACAAATATTTTGATAGTTGAAGACAACATGGAGGCACTCCATAAAACTGCTGAAGATATAAATGATAAAATCATATTGTGGAACAATATGAAACTCAAAAAATTTAAAACTAACACCATATTGTTCAGCAGACGTGGTTAAAGGGATTCGAATGTGGTACTATATGAAAATTGTGAAAAATCAATTAGTCCTGTAGAAACTGTGAATATGGTAGGAATTGTTCTAAATGAAAAATTAATGTGGAATCAACATATTGATGTAATAAACTGTAGAAAAGCTGCTATTCTATTAGATTCATGTCAAATCATTGCAGCTCTAGTATACTCTTAACACTGTACCAGGCTAAGTTCCATTCACACCTTCGATATGGCATTCTCAACTGGGGTATAAGTGCTGTAATTGAAAGGATATTTCTCCTCCAGAAATATGCAGTTAGAATAATAGCTAAGCTAGGGTATCGTGATTCATGTAGAGATGCTTTTAAACAGCTAACAATTCTTACAGTTGCCAGCACCTACATACTAGAGGCTAGTGCATACGTTTTCAAAAATAAATCTAATTTTCAGTCCTCTCTTCCAAATCATAACCACAATACTCGTTCGAAAGATCTAATCGTACCAAACGCTCATAGAACTTCTTTATATGAAAAAAGCGTAGAATACAGTGGGTGTAAATTATACAATATGCTTCCAATAGCTCTTAAGAATTCCCCAAATATTAATGTGTTCGAAAGTCAGCTGAAAAAAATGCTACTTCAAAGGACTTGTTATACCATTCAAGAATTCACCAATCAACTAACCTGAGATCTTGAGCTTTAGCACATTTGGTGAAAGTGTTGACTTTCAATACTTGAGAAATTGTGTATTGATTATATTTTATTGGTTTTTTATAGTCTATAACTAGTTACATTTATATTCTTATATTTATATGGTACTTTTATTACTTATGGATGTTTATCACTGTTTGTGTTATTGTATTGTTTATATTATTTTGACTGACTTATAATATGGTTACATATTATTTGGACTGACTTTTATAAAATGGTTATATGTAGTTATTTACATTTATATGTTTTTACATTTACTTTTATAATTGACATTTTCTTTGTTTATTGTGCATTGATTTCTGTCAACTGTACTTTTCAACAAAAGAAATGAATATTATTATTAAAATTATTATGTTTGAGTGCGGAGCTCCACACATGACAACAATACTCCAAATAACATCTATTCTGAGCTTTATTAAGCATCTGAAGTTGCTGAGGTGCCAAGATATACTGGTGTCCATTTTGACCCCCAAAAAACTTATCGAACCAGAAAGCGGAATTCGGAGATATTTATCTTCTTGTGGCACTCAATTGAAACCTAGTTACTCTCACCCCAATTCGAAATTACCTCTAGATCTTGGGATATCCTACCTCCTACTGCCGGTGAAGATGTGCTTCTGCAGCCAATGTCCTGGGATCCAAATGTAATGACGAGAAAAGTGTGCTGTCGTCAGCAAAGCAATATATTGGATTCTTGTTTTTTTCGTTGATATACAATAAAAAGAGGATTGAAGATAATATGGATCCCTGGGGAACACCAGCGTTGATGGTGGAAGTATTCGAGAGATATCCATCGACTGTCATTGGAGGAAACTTTCTTTCAGGAAGCTGAAGAGCCATACACAATAATTATCTGACAAGCCATAGCATCGAAATTTGGCCAGCAAACCCTCATGCCATACACGGTCAAAAGCCTCAGAAATATCAAGTGCAGCAGCTCTTGACTCTCCATGTTTGTCGACTGCGTTATTCCAAATATGGCTGACATATGATAAAAGGTCGCCTGTTGATCTTTATTTCCGAAAACAATATTGATGATTGCTCAAGATGTTGAAGCCTTCCAAATATTCGAGGATATGCTGGTTTACGGCTATCTCCATGATTTTTGATATCTCTGAAAGCAAAGTTTCTGGTCGATAGTTATTTGGAAGAGTTTTCTTGTCCGTTTTGGGAAT